AGTTTCCCTGATCTCCCTTCTGGTGTCAGATAATTGATGACTCTCAATCCTTAAGATTCAAAGCAGGTTGTAACTTGTAGACCTCTGCCTATTTCTAAAAGACATCTTAAGAAAAAAAAAAGACTGGGGACATAACATTTGAAGCAATCTTGACAAGTAAATTGAGTTTCAAAATATAGTCACTCCAACTGGGTACCATATCATCAATTTATAAAGCACTTGAAAATACAGTAACTACTATTCAAAGCAGTTTTGGCATTTACATGACGGCATGGCTCAAGAGTCACTCTTAGTTATTACTATGAAAACTGTTTGGGATGTGGATGACAACATGGATTAGAAACCTACTCTCAACTGAGAGAACCTAAAGGTCTGAGCTCTTTCTTCCACCATCGTAACTTCAGGTTGATATTATAAACATCTTGAAAAGAGAGAAGGGCAGGCGTGCTCTCTATATCTCTATCTCTATCTCTGTATCTCTATCTCTATTTCTCAGTAGCAATGTGGCCTTATAAACTATGAGATACTACAGAATTATCTAATGTATTCAAGTTCCCAGTAGTTACCATTACAGGATTTCCAGGTGGTGGTCCTTTCCAGAGAAAAGTCCCCTCTCCTTCCCCACTTGTCTCTCACACTTCCATCTCCCAGGCTCTTATCTCACTGGTCCCACCTTCTGTCCTCTATCTGTCCCTTTTTTATATAACTTTGTATACAGTATTAACTGCACTTCTTTCAAACATTGTCTTTTGTACTTACCACACACACACACACACACAGACACTTCTCACACCCCCATTCTTCACAACTCTGCACTTGTTTTTCTTCTTTTATAAAGACAGTACTTTCAAAACTATTGAACTGAATTGAACAGCATTGATCTGTTCTTTAATTTATTTCAACACACAATTCTTGAGTGCCTATTGGTGCAAACATGGCTCCAGGTAATAGCGGCAGGGGTGGCACCATGAAGAACATGGGAGGGATAACATGAGGTCCAAGCGTAGGGTTTGGAATAGACAAACCTGGGTTTGGATCCCAACTTTGACATCTTTTGTCTGTGTGATGCTGGTCAAGTTACCCATCCTCTCTGTGTTTCACTTTTTGCATTTTCCAATGGGAATAATTATAGTACCTATGCCACAGATTTGTTGTTTTGGATTAAAGAATTTGATGGCTGCAAAGCGTTTGGCATTGTACTTGGCATACAGTAAACTTTCAATAAATGTTGGTGATGAAATAGGGCATAAGTTCTGCCCTCCAGGAGTCTGGAGTCCATTGTGAATAAGATAGACATCCGAGTCACACAGTTACAGTAGTTAGTGGAATAAAGGTTTAAGCAAGGTATTACGGAAATGTAGAGGAGATTGATTCTGATTGAGAAATTTGGGGACGGTTTTGCAGACTGGGTATTCCTTCAACAGGCAGCTATTGCGATCAAGGCATATCACTGAAGGAGAAGGGAGAAGAGGGATAAACACTACAATTGGGAGCAGAAGACTTGGGTCACTAGCTGTGCTACCTTGAACAAATCACTTGAACTTTCTGAGCCCAAGTTTCTTTTCAGTAAAATGGGGAGAATATTACCAGCTCTGCGTGCATCCCAGTATTGGTATCAAATGAGACACTACGTAGAAAGGGCTTTGTAATTTCTGAAAATTAAAAATGTAGTTGTGATGGTGGTGATGATAGAATAGTTTTTATTGTCAGGCTAGTGGAAATCAACTTATATCCATTCATTCATACTCTCTTGGCTTGCTCCCCTTGTGGTTAATGGTATGCCTTTGCAAGTCATCTGGCCAGGATTTCTGTTGACAAAAATGTTTTGACAAAGTCTACTCTTAATTTCCCTGCATGCAAACAGAGGCAAGCAGTACACCAGATAGATCATTCAGAAGAACAGATAATCAAAACATCACTTCTGTTTAGCGCTGAAATGCAAAAAGGAAGGAGTGCACAGAAGGAGGCCTTAGATCACCTACCAAGTGAATAATTAAGAATTAACTTGAATAAGAACTTGTGAAAATCACTATGCAAATAGGGATCACACCATGGTATGGATCTAAAAATCCAAGATGGCAAAGCAAGCTGATTTTAGCCTTTAGAATAAATACTCTCTGTAATCTTCTGTCTCTATTATCTTTGAGGAAACTGCTACATGTAAAGCATTCGAGCAAAATTTGGTTTTGTCTCTCAGGCCTGCAATTTTGCAGCTTGCTCTGTTCTGGATGGGCTGTGCACATACCTTCAAGCAAATTGTTGGAATCGCTCCCAGTTCACTCAGCCAGCTGACTCCATTAAAAAGGAGGATTTATCTTTTTTTCCCTCTTTGTCCAAACTAGAGGACAAAGAGCATGGCAACCAGTGGCTAATCATAGGGCCCACTGGAGCCTGCCCAAAAAAAGAAAAAAGAAGAGTCCCCTCCCAGGGCAGCCCTTACAGTTGCCACATCAGAGGATTGCAAAGAGCAGGTTACCCCATAAGTGGCCCCCTGCAACACCCCAGAAGGCAAAATAACAGCTAGGGTGCCGTCATCCAGGACAGTGACCACAAAGTCTGGGTACCAGTGCTGCTGCTCTAGTGCAGCTTTCCATATAGATCTATATCTTTAGGGTCCTCATTTTAAAATTACATGTTGGGTGGGCCATCATTTGGGGGGATTAACTTAGCATTACACCATGTGCCTGAGAGTGTTTAGGTTCATCTGATGACAAAGCGTAGGAAGGTAATAAAACAACTCTGAAATAATAATAATAAGCCACAGGAAGAGGGTCTTCATGGTGGGAAGCATATGCAGATCTCTTTGCATATGAACCCTGTAACTTGCTGGGTGATATCAGGCAAGTCACTTAACCTACTAGTTTCTTCATCTACGAAATGAAGATGATAATAGTAGTACCTATCTCAGAGTTGTCTGGAAAGGAATAAAATGCAACACAGTCCCTGGCACCCAAAGAGTGTGCAATAAATAGTAACTGCTAAAATAACTCCCAGGCATCTCAAAATACTCAATTTGTTTTGCATGACTAGGCCCATTTCCAAAAGTTGCATAAATATACTGCCTACAGAATGCAGTTCTTGCTCTGTTCTTTAAGGACCTCCAAAACCCTGTGTGGACACTTTGTTTATTCTTTTTGCAAAGCTTGGGGAGTGGGAAAAGGAAAGGGTTACAGTTTTCCATTTCACAGACGGGAAATCCAAGGCATAGAAAAAGTAAATTACTTGGCTAATGTCACATTAAAGCCAGCAGCAGAACTGTAATCGGTCATGACCCCCCATTGCAATGCAGCTTGTCTTCACCTTTCAAAAGTCAGGGGTAAGCAACTTCTGTCTCAGTTTTAATACCATCAGCCTAATTTCTCAGATTTTCTATAGCTGCTGATCTTGAGAACCTTTGAAGCTTCGGGGAAATCACATGGGTGATTTGACCTTAAATCTCATGCCACTAGCAAAAGATTAATTGCTAAGACCTGGAAAGGGGCCAGACAATTCTGTGTAGCTGAATAGCAGCATCGTCTAGGGATGTGACTGTCCTGACAGATTTAGTTAGTACATAATTGATAAATCTAGAGTTTGTATAGCTTCGCTTAACAGATAGATAAGGCAATGGGCTCCGAAGGTTGACATTTACAGAAGCTCTCCCAGTGTTTTGTAACACTGAATCTAGGTTTTCTATCCTCTTCCTCTGAACACTGCTCATTTTCTAAGGCTCTGTTCTCAGCAGGCAATAAGATGAGGTTATCTGACAAGAGGGCCACCTCACCCAGTGTAAGCAAGAAGCAAGAAGCCTCCTAAGTGTAGCACTGTCATGTGACTGCTTTGAAAGTCTTACTTACCCGGATCCAGTGTGGGGTGAGGTCAAAGAAAGATCCAGCACATTACATAGCAGCTAGGAAATTTTCGTCACAATCAGAATCCAAAAAAGATAAAAGGCAGCCAGATACAACATGAAAGCTTGGATAGTGTGTCTAAACCTTGGGCAGGAAATTTTGCGCTGCTTGACTCCTGTTCCAGACTAAAACGTGTCATAAGACCCCTTTTAGCAATGTGAACTCTGACAGGCACCCAGAAACCTCAGCTTTTATTTCTTTGACTTTGGTCACCCACTCCACAAAGTATTTTGCTTATTGAAAGGAATGGTGGTGAATGCTTTTTAATTTGTATCCAACGCCTATAGAGTTTATTGTAAGATTTTGTTATCTTCTCTTAATTCTTGCTGTCTAGTTTTATGTTTCAATTCATGAAGCATTGTTGTGTGGCTGATATATACCCAGTGTACTTCTGTAATTTTGTCACTTCCAGTTGTAAAACATCTGACCCACTAGCTTAGGTCAGTAAATCGGTGGCTTACAGTGTGAAAGATTTTCTGTTTGTTTGTTTTTGCATGGTAGTGAATAAGAATGGCATTAAATAGCCTCTCTTGCCCTCACAAAAAAAAATGTAGTAACTTTATGTATCATAACCTAACACATAGAGCTATTTTTTTAAGCTAGTTGTGACAACTTTCTGAATACAATTTACTAAGATACATTACTTTTTATTTTTTCTTTTGGAGACAGGATCTCACTCTATTGCCCAGGCTGCAGTGCAGTGGCATGATCATGGCTCACTGCAGCCTCTACCCCCCAGGCTCAGGTGATCCTCTCACCTCGGCCTCCCAAGTAGCTGGCACTACACACCACATCCGGCTAATTTTTGTATCGTTCATAGGGATAGATTTCCACCATGTTGCCCAGGCTGGTTTCGAACTCCTGGGCTCAAGCGATACACCCGTCTTGGCTTCCCAAAGTGCTGAGATTACAGGCACGAGCTACCTCACCCAACCAAAATATATTACTTCTATTAAAAGATAATATATAAAAATCATTTAGAAAAAATATACTATGTATAAACAATTATCTTATCACATACATACCATTTTAAATATTAAAAGTTTATAAGACTGTTTCTAGAAACTTTGTAGCTCTGAGTTAAGTGGGTGATTTGTCTTCTTTCATCAGAGGAATTAGAGAGATTAGAACAGGAGAGACTAGCATTGGAAGCGACTATCAAAGACAATGAGCGTGAAGAGGAAAGTGGAGGCATCCGAGGCTTGTTTAAAAAAGCTGGCAAGTTGAATATTACCAAGACAACGCCTAAAAAAGGTAAGTACTTTTTAAAATTTGCAAGAAAGTTTATAAGATAAGTCACTATTTGGGCATCTAGAAAGAGTCCGAAGTCAGCATCTAAGATGTTGGGGGCATTGAGTGCAGGTAGGAACTGAAAGGTTTCTCTCCAGAAGGTAGTATGGATAAACGGTAGCAGCTATTGTCATTTATCAACCTCATTAAGTACTTTGTACCATCTTACTGCCAAAAATTATTTTTAAAATGTAATATTTGGTTTGGAAGTCAAATAGTGCTTAAGCAGATTGCATGCCATGAAACAGAAGTTTCTCAGTTAAGATGGAAAGGGGATAGAAATTTAAGAGTCAGTACCCAAACCGTCTTATCCACACATACCCTTACCTTTCAGACATTTCAGGGAACTGAAATATGACTAGTACATGCAAATACGGTATCCAGCTGGAACGCTGATTTCAAAAAAAACATCTTTATCACAAACCAGAATGCAGGACTTAGAACTTTATTGATACTCACTACCTGTAGATTTCATCTAAATCGTACATTTATATGTGAACTTATGGTATGCAGTCCTGGGACAGAGGATCAGAGGTTGGGAGAGCTCGTTACACGTTTTATAAACAGACGATTCAAACGTTTGGATTTTTGAAAATTACTTTCCGAAACGTTACGGGTTTGAGTTTAATGAGGTCCACAGTGACCTCTGCTGGTCCAAAATCAGAATGTTAGCAGGCATTTATTTATGCACGAACGTCCTGTAGTTACTGAAGTCACACTCTGGTGTGAGGCCAGGAAAAGATGGTTTCTCTGGGAGGGTCTCCAAGTCAAACAGCAGGATCCAAGTGGAGACTTAGCAGGCTTCTGGTCTAGGATGACCAGGGCCAACCCTTCAAAGAGGCTCTTCGACAAGGCCATCTCCCACCCCATAAATGGTTTGTCTGTTTGCTTTCCTACTATAGCCCAAAGATGAAATTTCACCTATAATATAATAGTTTTATACATCTACAGAGAATGATGGGAAATCCAGATATTGCCCCACTTCAGATACTCTGGGTACTGTCGAGTTCCTGGGATAACCCCATGGGCCGTGGCCTACTCCTTACAGTTCACCTTAAAATGACATAGATGATGTGTTTGAATTCAAGCTGAAGCTACATCAGGGTGAAAATATTTAAATAAGACTGTTCTGGATGCTAACTACTACTTCTTTTCTTTCTAATTATTTGGTTTAACTGTAAAAAAAAGTTAACAATCCATTAAATCTGCTCTATTAAGTGGTACAGTCTGGAAAATAATGAAAAATTCAAAAGTCATAGCCCAACAGTGTGGTCTAACTAGAGAGAGGGAAGCATTAATGTCCTTATTATGACAGCAGGACTTGTTATTTATTCTGGAAGCTTATTTTTGCATCACAATACTTGTTTTGGCAAAAATATACTCTTCCAAAAGTCAACATGTCAAATTGTTCAGAAAAGAAAAGTAATAATGTTATATACTGTTTTAATACCTAGAAGTTTAAACATAGCTCTAAAGTGGGCTCATTCACTACTCTAGGCTTCCGTTATTGTCAACTCTTGAGTTCTAGACCAGAACCAATCCTGCCCCCAGGCACCTGAGTATGAACAGGAGGCCTCTGGATACTTTGACTTGTCTGTAGGTGAGGGCAGAGCTTGGTCCATTTTGTAAATAAATTTTTCTCCCTCAGCAGTCCCAGGGATGTAAAAACAATATCAGATCATTGTTTCAGAACTGACAGACCCTAAACACAGAAACAGCAAAAGATAAAACAAAGCATCTTCAGAACCTCTTAGATCAGAGAGGAAGCTCTAAAGAGGCTGTCAGCCCTCCTCTAAGCACCAGGCTGACACCACCTCTTTGAAAGAGAGCAATAAAGTCATGACTTTCAAAGACACAGATATGAGAAATACTATGTACACTGTGGCAAAGAAACCCCTCTTGGCAAACAGGAACAGGTCCGGCTCCAACACTGGCCGAGTTCCCTGGTACACTTTCATTGTATCCATGTTAGGGTAGAAATTGCATTTTAAAAAATTTTAACTGTTTTATATGCACCCTGAATTATAACTCAAGTAAAGATGTTTTTATTTCCATATTTTCTAGCTTTTTTTTTTTCATCTAATTCACAAAGATTCAAATAGCTCAAATGGCTTTACTTTAGCTTCACAAGATTCCTTGAAAAGAAAGCAGAGGAGTAAGCCAGGCCGACTAAGGGACCAAATAGTCACAGAGTTCAAGATGCACACGGTCCCTGGCAAATTTTAGAAACCAGACCTGAATGGAACTTAAACCAAAATAGTGCTTCACACATCAATTCCTTAATGAAAGGATATTTCTGATTCTATAGCTTATTTCCAGAAAACCACTTACCACATGTGAAGTAAATATAAAAATATTAATACTATTAAGTTGATTTATATCTGAGATTTGGGGAAATGGGGATTTCTGGCTAGTAGCATTGCTGCATGCCTCAGTAATAACTCCACTCTGAGACAGATTGCTAAAGGTCTGAAAAAATCCATTGTTTTTTAATAAAAACTATAATCATAAAGCTGTTTTACTTAACTATTGACTGTCAATATTTTATTTAACTATTGAAGGTGGTCTAAATTATTCTGGGATTGGACTTTTGTCTCTGCCTTTTGAAGAATAGAGTCGCTATTTATTTTAGGTATAATAAACACGAATCTGTGACCTTTTCTCTATTTTCATCAGTAGATTGATTGGAAAGTTATTTTGCTTCTGCCCTCAGAAGCAAACAGATGCATCAATTCCTCCTTCATTTCAGATGGCAGCATTAACACAATCCAGTCGATGCATGTGGGAGAGTTCAACCAGAAACTGGTGGAAGCCAGCACTCAATTTAAAAAGAAACAAGAAAAAGGCACAATTGATGTTTGGTGGTTGTTTGATGACGGAGGTAAAAACTTTCAGAAAATACACTAGGGACAAGAATTCCTATCTTGATCAACTTAACAAACTGCATGAGAAGGTATATGGGAACAATGCTGGTTAAAGAATAATGTTTCTGTGTTCTCCAAAGATTGTAACTTAATTAAGAGCTATCAGTGTGGGAATGAATAAAGATATAAAGCTATTCATTTCCTCCCATTTAGATATACTCAACGTGTCATAATTCACTCTTTATTCCAGGGTTAACACTTCTTATCCCCTATATCTTGACTCTCAGAAAAAAATGGAAAGACTGTAAATTAAGGATCTATGTCGGAGGAAAGATCAACCGCATTGAAGAAGAAAAAATTGCGTAAGTAGTTTACCACCCACATGTTAGGTCATTTCAGAGGTTTGTTGCTTTAATGCTTTCATTTTAATAACTTTAAGTGTCTCTGAGACACAGTAGACTTAAAGACAAAGCCACCAGGATAGGCCTCGTGTTTACTTGGTTTTCTGGTCAGTAAATTATTTTCATATCTTTCCTGATCACTGTCTTCAAGCAAGACCTCTTATCCTCTGTCACAAATGCTTTCCAAAAGGAAGGTGCCACAGAAGCCTCATCGCAAGTCCTGAGTGGGAGCTTCATTATCTCATATAATGCTTATTTTGTTCTGACCAGTAAAGGCATCCAAGAAAAGAAGAGCCTGAAGGAAATTCGGGTCCAGTTGCTTTTTCTGTGGGAATTCAAACCTCCTAATTCATGGCAGTCACTCTTAGCAGAGCATATGTAAAAGAGAACTAAATGGAGAGACTGCACCTGGGTTCTAGCCCCAGCTCTGCCATCAAGGAGCTGTAGGACTTTGCAACAGTTGCCAAATACATCTGGGTCCCCAGTTTCTCCTTTGTAGTTTGAAAGAGTTTAAAGGGATGACTGTAGAGAACTCTTCTAATTTAAATTTAAAAAAAAAAAAAATCCCACAGTGTAAGTCTGTATCTTTCTCATTAATGTAGCCATTGAGAGCTGATGCCAGGTGTGAGAAGAATAAGCATGCTGAGAACATGACACATCTAGAGGTCTCTGGTGGAAATTCAGAAAACCACCTTTAGCACTTAGTCCCTCATGGCACTGAGGGACTAAGCTCCGAGTCCTTCCTGGAACCAGCACTTCCAGAAGTCACAAAATAATGACAGGCTTTATTCAGTAATTTTTAATATTTTCTCTTCCCTCTTAGGATGTATTGTGCTGTGAATGTGGTATACATATATATATACCCATACACACACACAGACACACATATAGTTATAAATTGCTACATTGTTACATTCTGAGAAATGTGTCAGGCAATTTCATATTGTGCAAACATCAGAGTGTACTTACACAAACCTAGATGGTATAACCTACTACACACCTAGGTTATATGGTATACCCTGTTGCTCTAGGCTACAAATCTGAACTGAATACTGTAGACAACTGTAACACAGTGGTAAATATTTGTATATCAAAACATAGAAACGGTATAGTAAAAATACAGCATAAAAGATAAAAAATGGTCCACTTGTATTGGGCACTTACCATGAATGGAACTTGCAGGACTGGCAGTTGCTCTGGGTGCATCAGTGAGGGAATGTGAGGCCCCAGGACATGACTACGCGACTGTAGATTTTATCAACACTGCATACTTGGGCTACACAAAATTTATACAAAAATATTTTTCTTCAAAGCTGGACCTGAGAATAAAAAATATTTTTCTTTAATAATAAATTAACCTTATCTTACTGTAACTTTTTTACTGTATAATTTGTAAGCTTTTGACCCTTTTGTAATAACACCGAGCTTAAAACATATTGTACAGCTGTACAAAAGTGTTTTCTTATATCCCTATTCTATAAGCTTTTTTCTTTTTTATTTACTTATTTATTTATTTATTTTTTGAGACGGAGTCTCGCTCTGTCGCCCAGGCTGGAGTGCAGTGGCCAGATCTCAGCTCACTGCTAGCTCCGCCTCCCGGGTTTACGCCATTCTCCTGCCTCAGCCTCCCAAGTAGCTGGGACTACAGGCGCCCGCCACCTCTCCCGGCTAGTTTTTTTGTATTTTTTTAGTAGAGACGGGGTTTCACCGTGTTAGCCAGGATGGTCTCAATCTCCTGACCTCATGATCCGCCCCTCTCGGCCTCCCAAAGTGCTGGGATTACAGGCTTGAGCCACCGCACCCGGCCATTTTTTTTTTTTTTTTTGGCGGAGTCTCGCTCTGTCGCCCAGGCTGGAGTGCAGTGGCCGGATCTCAGCTCACTGCAAGCTCCGCCTCCCGGGTTCATGCCATTCTCCTGCCTCAGTCTCGCGAGTAGCTGGGACTACAGGCGCCCGCCACCTCGACCAGCTAATTTTTTGTATTTTTAGTAGAGACGGGGTTTCACCGTGTTAGCCAGGATGGTCTTGATCTACTGCCCCTGTCGGCCTCCCAAAGTGCTGGGATTACAGGCATGAGCCACCGCGCCCGGCCTGCTTTTTTCTATTTTTTCTTTTTAAATATTTTTGTTAAAAACTGAAACACAAACACACACATTAGGGTAGGTCTATCCAGGGTCAGGATCATCAATATCACTGTCTGCCACGTCCACATCTTGTATCCCACTGGAAGGTCTTCCAGGGCAATAACAGGCATGGAGCTGTCATCTCCTATAATAACAATGCTTTCCTCTGGAATATCTCCCTAAAGGACCTGCCTGAAGCTGTTTCACAGTTCACTTTTTTTAATAAGTAGAAGGAGTACACTCTAAAATAACAATAAAAAGTATAGTATGTAAACACATAACCAGTAACAGTCATTTATTATTGTTATCAAGTATGTACTGTATGCAATTGTATGTGCTGTATTTTTATATGACTGGCAGTGCAGTAGGTTTGTTTACAGCAGCATCACCACAAACGTGTAAATAATGCGCTGTGCTATGCCATTATTACAACATCACTAGGTGATAGGAATTTTTCAGTTTCATTATAATCTTATGGGACCACGATCGTACATGCAGTCTGTCATTGACCAGAATGTTATGATGTGGTGTATGACTGCATATATATTATACGTATATGCATATATGTCTTTTCAATCAAATCAATATGATATGTATATACTAATATTATATATATTTAATTGTACTTCAAGAGGATCATATTAACATGGAAATTAACATAATGTCTAAAATATTTTATATTTCTTAAAGCTGCCAATACTTTATTGGGACAATTAGTATAATTTGAAAATGTTTTGTGGCTTAAATGGTAGTATGGCATCAATGTTAAATTTTCCAATTTCAAAAATTGTGCTCTCTTTATATAAGAGATTGTCCTTGTTCTTAGGAAGTGCTCACTGAAAAATTTAGGGGTAAAGGTGCCTAATATCTGCAACTGACTTTAAAAGATTAGAGTAGATAGGTAGATAGATAGAGATAGAAGTAAATAGATAGATAAATATAAAGAGAGAGAAACAAAGAAAATGATAAATCAAATGGGACAAAATATAAACAACTGGTGAATCTGGGAGTTCTTTGTATTATCTTAAACACTTTTCTGTAACTTTGAAATTATATCAAAATTATCAGTTGCCAGGAAAAAACCTCATATATATATATATATAAGCCATATACATATAAGGCTTATATATATGAGGTTTTATAATATACACGATGGTTTATAATGTTATAATATGTTTATATATTGTATAATTTATATATAATATGTTTATATATAATTAATCATATAATTTATCATATTATGATATATTATATGATAACTGTCAGTAGTTTGTCAGTAACTATAAAAATTACACCAATATTATAGTCCATAAGTATTAAGACTTGCTGTCTTTCAAATAACAAGAAATGTGGACAGATTTGCATTCTGTTCCCTGTGACATAAATGCAGGGTTGGACTGGCTGTTGCCAGTGTCTGCACCTACAGGGGTTTCTTTATGCCTTCAGTGAAATAGCTTGGTCCACACTTAATGTGTTCATCAAGTACTGTAATGAAAATCAAACACCAACCAAAAAGCCTCTGTCTGAAAGCTAAGCTGAAATAAGACATGATTGCTTTTGATATCTTAACTCAAACACAAAACTCTTTGATTGAAAATAGTTAAATATGCAATGATGAAGTATTTTCCTCTCATATTTTCAGAATGGCTTCCCTTCTGAGCAAATTTAGGATAAAATTTGCAGACATCCACATCATTGGTGACATCAACATTAAGCCAAACAAAGAGAGGTATGAAATATTAAACAAGATCCATTGATTACCCATGGACTCTCTCATTCTCTTTTGTGTTGATTATCAACAGTAAAAATGTTATGTATTTACTGCAGTGACTTCTTAATGGGATCTAATAAGAAGGGCCTTCAAATAATCATGAAGAACTAACAAGTACATTCTAAAGGGAAGAAAAGCCTTTACAGTGAAGACAAGCCTGAGAGGGAGAATTGTTGAAACAGATTAGTTCGTAGTTTAGAATTGCCCTTCCTGTTCTCGGTTTCTATGGTGGCAAGAGTAGCAGGAAGCGCAAGGTCATACTATTCTGACCGGAGCCATCAGGGCAAGTTTTGTTATTCAGAGTTACTCGTGGAGCAGCCTGGATGGGGAGCTCTGATGGAGAAGATGTGGAAACAGCTCGTGTCTTCTCGGCACACGGACAATACCAACTCCCCAGGGTCATTTTAGCTTTTAGGCACTAAAGGCCCAACAGGTAAGGCCTGTGAATTTTGCGGGGATGTCTAAAACTATCTGAAGCCTGGAAAAGAAATGTATTGGCTCCAAAATAAAAAAAGAAAATGACAAAATCAAAGTAATCATTTCAATATCTTCAAAATGTGACATTATTTTAATCCTCATTAATTGTTATATTTATCAACTCCATTAGTGTCTTTGTCAGCTAAGGCTGCTATACCAAAATGCCATGGACTGGGTGGATTAAACAACAGACATTTATTTCTCACAGTTCTGGCGAAGTTCTGGGAAGTCCAAGTTCAAGGTGCTAACTTACTCAATTTCCTTTGAGGGCCCTCTTGGTGGTGTGCAGATGGCCGCCTCCTTGCTATGTCCTCACATGGTGGAAAGAATTCTCTCTTTCTCTTCCTATAAGAGCACTAATCCTATAATAGGGAACCTACCCTCATGAACTCATCTCAACCTAATTACCACCCAAAGGCTTCACCTCCAAATACTATCACATGGAAGTTAGGGCTTCAACACATGAATTTGGGTGGGGGGACACAAGCATTCAGCTTATAACAATGATATTTTTGGGTTTTTTTTTTTGAGACAGGGTCTCACTCTGTCATCCAGGATGGAGTGTAGCAGTGCAATCTCAGCTCACAACAACCTCTGCCTCCTGGACTCAGGTCATTCTCCCACCTTGGCCTCCTAGGTAGCTGGGACCACAAGCACGTGCCACCACACCTGGTTAATTTTTTGGTAGAGACGGGCTTTCGCCATGTTGCCCAGGCTGGTCTCAAGCCCCTGAGCTTGAGTGATCTGCCCGCCTTAGCCTCCCAAAGTGCTGGGATTACAGGCATGAGCCATTACACCTGGCAACACTGATATTTGAAAACACTTGTAGGTTAGATCTTCACAGTAGTTTGCAAGGGTGCAAGAAGATTGTTTAGAAACCATGGCCAATTATAAATTAAATTAAATATTTAGAGTTATCATTTAACAATTACAAAATGTTTTCAATTATTTATAATCTAAAATCATATTTTGTGTTGCACTCAGATGCAATTTAATACATTTGATTTCGTGTGGAGTGGGGCCTCCAAGAGGAATCATACAGAGGGATGTGAAGGTCCCAGAATGGCTTAGATTATCACGGTTCTGTCAGATCTCTTCCCTTTTCTGTTGACCATCATTTCTTCTTCCTTTTGTACTTCTTTTTTTGTTTTTTTTTTTAAATGGAGTCTAGCTCTGTTGCCAGGCTGGAGTGCAATGGCGCCATCTTGGCTCACTGCAACCTCCGACGCCCTGGTTCAAGGGATTCTCCTGCCTCACTCAGCTGCTGAATAGCCGGGATTACAGGCACGCACCACCACGCCCAGTTAATTTTTGTATTTTTTTTTTTTTTAGTAGAGACGGGGTTTCACCATGTTGACCAGGATGGTCTCGATCTCCTAACCTTGTGATCTGCTTGCCTCAGCCTCCCAAAGTGCTGGGATTACAGGTGTTAGCCACCACACCCAGCCCCTTTTGTACTTCTTGATGGATTATAATTCCATGTTTTTCAAGGCTTCTTGACTCTTTCCTTCTTTTGATTTATTGCTATTCTATATGAGCTTAATAACTAACTGAAAATTATTCCAATTTAAGATGCATTCTTACTGATCAAACAAACTTGAATTTCATATTCTTTGAGGTTACTCATGATCCTTCCAAGGCAGTGAGTCAGTTAAAATGGTTTTACAAAACACCTTAACTGCAAGGCGTGGTGGTTCACACCTGTAACCTCAGCACTTTGGGAGGGCAAGACAGGAGGATTGCTTGAGCCCAGGAGTTCCAGAGCAGCCTGGGCGACATACCAAGACCCCCCAAAATAGAAAAAATTCACCAGGCTTGGTGGTGTATGCCTGTAGTCCTAGATACTCAGGAGGCTGAAGCAGGAGGATCACGTGAACCTGGGATGTCAAGGCTACAGTGAGCCATGATCACCCCACTGCACTGCAGGCTGGGTGACAAGAGTCTCTTTTTTGAGACCCTGTCTCAAAAAAAAAAAAAAAAAGAAAGAAAAGAAAAAAGAGCCGGGCACGATGACTTATACCTGTAATCCCAGCACTTTGGGAGGCCGAGGCAGGCAGATCACCTGAGGTCAGGAGTTTGAGACCAGACTGACCAACATGGTGAAACCCTGTCTCTAATAAAAATACAAAAATTAGCCAAGCGTGGTGGTGGGCGCCTGTAATCCAAACTACTCGGGAGACTGAGGCAGGAGAATCACTTGGATCCGGGAGGTAGAGGTTGTGGTGAGCCGAGATCATACCATTGCATTATAGCCTTAGCAACAGAGCGAGACTCCATCTCAAAAAAAAAAAAAAGAGGGAGAGAAAAGAAATAAATTAACTGTGATAAGAAAGCTATAATCGACAGGGTGAAACTGGTTATTACTTTGTGATATTTCTTTACATCATACTCTAATGCATTACATTCTTGTATTTCTATAGTTATAAATGCATAAGAAAAACTAAGAACACATAATTCTCATTGACAAATGTAATTAACATTCTGATATTAACTGGGTGGTCATATGGTAATCTCTGGTAGCCTTCCACTTTTTATTCAAAGAATTTCCATTCTCTATATCATTGCATTTTGGCATTTGCAGCGATATAATCAAACAAGCTCATCATATGGCTCTAATTGGTAGAAATACATCCTCTTTCATATCAGCAAGTCCAACAATTCCTTAGTACATGCCACTTAGCAATAGGGCATAGCCGGCCAGTGCTCTGCAAGATAGGGCCATTTTCTGTTGTCTAGTGGGTAGTCACTGTGTCTTCTACTGACTTTGGATTTCCTATAAGCCCTACCGAACATGAACTATCCACCCTTTTTTTTTTTTTTTTTTTTGAGACAGGATCTCACTGTCATCTAGGCTAGGTTGCAGTGGTACAATCATAGCTCATCGTAGCCTCTAACTTCCGGGCTCAAGAGATCCTCCTGCCTCAGCCTCTTGAGTAGCTGGGTCTAAAGGCATGAGCCACTACCCCCAGCTTTTTTTCTGGTAAAGAAAAAGTCTCACTATGTTGCCCTGACTGGTCTCAAACCCCTGGGCTTAACTGATCCTGCCACCTTGGCTTCCCAAAGTACTGGAATGACAGGCATGAGCCAGCACACCTGGCCTCACCCACTTCTTGTAGCCAAATTCTCCTTGCGGTTGTTGGTCTTATCCTTAGCTAAGCATTACCAGTGTTTGCTGACATTATCAATGTTTTGCTGACTAATTTGTGCCTATATTTCTTTGTCTCTTTACTTGTCAGTCTAGTTTTCTCAACCCAAGTCCTTATATCCTTCTCCTTCTTTCATACTAGTCTGTCCAGCTGCCACGGTCACCACCCTGCATAGCCATCCTTTCTGTCCTATTGCTGAGGCTGATGTACCTCTTCCATTAACCAAGCCTCTTTTTTCTTTGAATACTTTTCGTAGTCTGGACACTCTTCTTCTTACTACTCTGACCTTTGTCCCGGATGTCCTCTTCTGATGTCCACTGTGTTCATTTGGTGTTTGTCACATGTCCTCATTATCCTGGAATAAAGAGAATTAATTTTTTTTTGTCAGGAGATCAATTAGTTTTCAAAATTTTGGAGGTTTTCTCTCTGTTGTTTCAAGGTATTAAGGAAAATGCAGAAAAAAAAAATCCATTCTTACTAAAATAAAAGAATCCTTGTGACCAATATACCCTGCTGACGAAACAGGAGGCCACCAGAAGGAGTGTGCTGGAAGAGCCATCCTCTTCTCTTCAGCCTCCTGCCACAGTGATGTCATATTACTTTATAAAACAGTCCCTATCTGATGTTGGCAATGGCTGTTCCAATACTTGAAAGTAACCCTAATGTAGAACACAGTACGGTCATTCAGTAAATCTCACAGATGGCCACTAGTAGCGCATCTGGCATATTTGTAATACCTTAATTAAGGCAACTCCTCTGGATGGTCTAATCAGAGAAAGAGAACTCTTCCTCTGGGCTGATGCAGCCCCAGACCCAGGAGCTAACGTTTAGAAAATAGAACACTGGCTCAATTTCAGCTCCCACCTGGACCTTGGCCAGGCAGCCCTTACCTACTGTTAACAACTATCCCCTGATCACTATTCTTTCTTGGTCACCAGGTGATACACAATATGTCAAAAATAGCTTGTCAATGATTTCCATGTTGGAGGCTAATTTTAAATGCCCTCAAATTGCCTTTAATAAATCTTTCAACTACCCATAAAACATCAGTAAGTCTTGATGGAGGAATTTTATCACAGAAACATTATCTATAAACATGGTAGGGCAAGGGTGAAAGGGAGTATAAAAGCAAAGTTAATGAGAAAATAATTGAGCCAGGAGAAACTGAAAAGCTCTTGTGCTTAAATTCCATTTTTTATTGTATAGACTGAATTAAAAGTCTTAGGACAAAAAGACAACAATCTTTATGTGGAAATCAAAGAGAAACTAGAAGCAATTAAGTAGGTAATTTAGTTTAAAGATGCTAGAGTAGTCCCAGAAACAATTGGTACATTACTTTGAGAGAAGAAATTTTATGTGGACTTGGGGGGAAAATATTATGTAATTTTAAAAATTTTAAACTTTGTTATGAGGAACAAGGATGGGGAAGGCAGCAGTTATTTTAACAATTGAATTTTTATTTATATTTAATAGCATGTAACACTTGGCTTATTCTAGAGTCAATTAAAAGTACTTATAAGGAAAAAATCAGATTTAATGAGAATCAAAATAGAAATCTTGAGCTACGTCAGGATCCCCTAGCGAAGAGAATGAAAAATAGCCAGTTCAAAGATGATCCAAAGGATAGACAAATCAAAGATGAACACAGAGAAGGAGCAGTAAGTGTTCAAAGACAAAAATGGGCAAATACAGCCCCGTTATCATCCCATGTCACTTAGCATGTTTCAATTGCAAGTAAAAGAAAACTTAACTCACAGTGATTTAGACAATAGGAATTACTTTCATATGTAACTTAAAAATACAATCATATTTTGGATTTCAGGCTAAGCTTGATCTAGGTTAATTTTGTAATCAAGGACTAATTCTCTTTCAGTCTCCCTACTTTACTTTTTTTTTTAATAAAAGCATCCATCAAAGTTGATTTCACTTATAAAAACAAGATGACTGTCAATTGCAACCAGGACTACCTACTCGCTCATGTATGTTCCATAGGAGAGAAAGTTTGTCTCTTCTCAAATTAGTGAGCTCAGGGTCCAGGGCTCCTTTCAGGTTTCACTAACCTAAGCCACTGAGACATTACTGTGGTCAGCATAGTAATGGGTACTTATTGGTTCAAGTTTCCCTATGTTATGTGCCCACCTGGCCAATCACTCTGGAAGAAGACATAGAGTTGTGCTGATTGTCTATGCTGGCAATGAAGTCATTCCCACTGAAACTACAATGAGGAAAACATAGTACAGTTGCTGGGGAGACAACCAGCAACCTCTACTCCACCTTCTATTCCTTAGGAAACTATTTTTGTACTGTGCTTTCTAACAAGAATTTGGGTTGAGCTGCAAAGAAACTCTCATCCTGATCAAAATAAGTATATGAAGAGCTTAAACAGAAAGCCTCTCCACTGCGAACATCAATCCTGTGGCTGCTGAGTAAAGTGAACGTCTTGCCTTTCCAAGGCACTGCATGCTTTTCAGAGCACTGTCACCCAAATTATCACAGTGACTCTCAAACCAGTTTCTAGCAGCCATTGTTACTCCCCTTCTAGCAGCCATGGTTACTCCCCTTTTATAGCCTAGAATATCCAGGCCAAGGAGAACAATGCAAGAGCTGGAGCAAGAACCCACATCCTAGTCTCCGAAGCCAGCACCTTTCCATAGTGATGACCACTCCCAGAGGTCTCTAAAGGCACGACACTGTTGAAATAGGAAATCAAAGTTGAAAGAATAATAAGGCCTATCAGTCTTATTCTTTCCCTGTCTTTGCCTACCTTTCTAAATAAGTCAATGCAATAGAAGCCTAACGCATTAAGTATCTTTTCAGTCTCTTAACAAAGGTTCACTAGTAGGGACCATCCTGCTCCTTTGTAATCTCTGCACTTTCATCTGCAAATCCTAAATCAGGCCAGCTGGTGAGATAATTGAACTCATTACTTCATATTTTCATTTCCTGACTTAACAGCATATTGATTCTAATTATTCTTCATTCCAAAATTACTAAATTATAACTAAGCTACATTATATAAAACCAAATAAATTGTTCTTGAGATCATCTTAAAGTAGCACACTAGAGACAACTACTGCGGTAAATATAAGTTTTACTTTGTATCATTGTTTTTAAAAATAAATCTTATGAAATTCTTATAAGTAATTTTTAAAATGTTCTGTAGCTCTTAGCTGCCAGTTTGCTCCTCAGCAATTTCTTTTTAAATGTTCTAACATAGTGTCAGATTTTTAGGCATTAAAACATTATTGATTTTTGTTCTTTCTCCTAACATGAACCTGAATAATACTCATTTGAAAATCTCAGACAGCAACATCAAACAACAAAAGGACAAGGGGAGCATTATTGGCAGAAAGCATCCAAATTGTTCTACAATCATTAAACTTGTAGGAGCCCTTGCTCTCCTCTTACCTGCCAGCGGCCTCCTGCCATGAGTGGGAGTTGCCATGTGGACTAAGGGTGAGGGTAGCCATATCCATTTCCTATGTTAATTGATGAATTTCTCCCATAGAGTCTGTACAATAAGCAGGTGGAAACTCATTTGTGTGCTAAAGTATCTACATTACAACTATGTCTTTGACTACACGATGCAGAAAATGTATTTGCAGAACAATTACTACCTATGTGTTTGTGTGATAATATTGAAGATCTAATACCTAATAGGCTAACAAGGCCTCGAACACACTAAAGCCTTTTCTGGGGTAGGGAGGGTGTACTGTAGCCATGGTTTTACTCACAGTAAATTCCCTGCAAAGATAATTCTTAAAAGATTTGCATGATATTCAGCTCTGATTCCACAGCCAGCAGAGCCAGTCATACCTGGAGTATCTGTGAAATAATGAGTTAGTTTCCCACTGTGAGGCCTCCTTTATAATTCAAATTTTAGCTGGAAAGTCTTTGAAGAGATGATTGAACCATATCGTCTCCATGAAAGCTGCAAAGATTTAACAACTGCTGAGAAATTAAAAAGAGAAACTCCATGGAAAATTACAGATGCAGAACTGGAAGCAGTCAAGGAAAAGGTAAGGACTTGTCTTTCTTAATTTTTTTGCTGTCTAACTAGCTGAAAAAGGAAACAGTAGTTGATTTAAAGACAAAGAAACAATATATTTATTATCAAACGTCATTATTCAAGATCCAAGGTTTCTGCATTTTTCAAGTGCTTTTCAATCATTTACTGGATATGATTATTTAGAAAACGGTTTCATTTTTCCCATAAGGTCAATTATTTTTTAAAAGTTAAAAAATAGGTTATTGGCACAGATTGTGAAGTCTCCTTTCAAATTTCATTTTAAAGAACAGGAGAGAGACCCATCAGCCTAAAATAATTTGAGTCAATATGTATGCAAAGTTGATAAAGTTAGATGGACTCACAATTTAACACAATAACAAATAATTTTAAACTGATGAAGAGATGGCTATGAAAAACTTATAAAGGCATCTGAGGAAACATATGATGTGATTGGAACAATGAATATGGAAGCTGGATCCAGCACACATTGTAATATGGATGTAAAAATGGTGAGCCTTTCTAGAGAGTGCAGTAAGATGCTCCCATCTGTGCCTTCTGTCCTGAGCCGAATGAAGTTGGTGATTTTCATGCGAGTCCGTGTGAAGAGACCACCAAACAGGCTTTGTGTGAGCAACAAGGCTGTTTATTTCACCTGGGTTCAGGTGGGCTGAATCCAAAAAGAGAGTCAGCGAAGGGAGATAGGGGTGGGGCTGTTTTATAGGATTTGGGTAAGTAAAGGAAAATTACAGTCAAAGGGGGTTGTTCTCTGGTGGGCAGGGGTACGGGTCACAAGGTGCTCAGTGGGGGAGCTTTTCAGCCAGGATGAGCCAGGAAAAGGAATTTCACAAAGTAATGCCATCAGTTAAGGTAGGAACAGGCCATTTTCACTTCTTTTGTGGTGGAATGTTATCAGTTAAGGCAGCAACCGGCCATCCGGATGTGTACATGCAGGTCACAGGGGATATGATGGCTTAGCTTTGGCTCAGAGGCCTGACATTCCTGTCTTCTTATATTAATAAGAAAAATAAAACAAAATAGTGTTGAAGTGCTGGGGCAGTGAAAGTTTTTGGGGTGTGGTATGAAGAGATAATGGGCGATGTTTCTCAGAGCTGCTTCAAGCGGGATTGGGGTGTCATGGGAACCTCGAGTGGGAGAGATTAAGCTGAAGGAAGATTTTGTGTTAAGAGGTGATATTGCGGGGTTGTTAGAAGGATCATTGGTCGTATAGAATGATTGGTGATGGCCTGGATGCAGTTTTGTATAAACTGAAAAACTAAACGGAAGACACAAGGTCCAAATAAGAGAAGGAGAAAAAACAGGTATTAAAGGACTAAGAATTGGGAGGACTTAGGACATCAAATTAGAGACAACCTAAGGGGGTTCAGCGTAATTACTTGCTTGGTTGGTGAGTTTTTAGGCTCTACCCAAGTTTTTGGGGTGCAGTTCAAGTTGGGCTGGTGTCTGGAATGAGACTGGGACATAATAAAAAGAAGCATCCACACAGGAGCTCAAATGGGCTGGAACCTGTAGCATTCCGAGGACAGGCCGGAATTCTGAGAAGGGAAAGTGGTAAAAGTATTGTCTAGTCCTTTTTAAGTTGGTGACTGAGTTTGGTGAGGTGTGTTTTTAAAAGACTGTTAGTCTGTTCTACTTTTCCTGAAGATTGAGGACAGTAAATGATATAAAGGTTTCACTGAATACCAAAAGCCTGAAAAACTGCTTGGGTGATTTGACTAATAAAGGCCAGTCCATTATTGGACTGTATAGAGGTGGGAAGGCTAAACTGAGGAATTATGTCTGACAGAAGGGAAGAAATGACCACGGTGGCCTTCTCAGACCCTGTGGGAAAGGCCTCTACCTATCCAGTCAAAGTGTCTACCCAGACCAAGAGGTGTTTTAGTTTCCTGACTCGAGGCATGTGAGTAAAGTCAATTTGCTAGTCCTGGGTGGGGGCAAATCCCCAAGCTTGATGTGTAGGAAAGGGAGGGGGCCTGAACAATCCTTGAGGAGTAGTAGAATAGCAGATGGAACACTGAGAAGTGATTTCCTTGAGGATAGATTTCTACGCTGGAAAGGAAATGAGAGGTTCTAAGAGACAGGCTAGCGGCCTTGTAACCTAGATGGAAGAGGTTATGAAATGACTACAGAATAGAATGGGCCTGTGAGGCTGGAAGGAGTTATTTTCCTTGGTCTAAGAACCGTTTGCCTTGTGTGGGAAGAGAGTAATCCCAGCACTTTGGGAGGCTAAGGTGGGAGGATTGCTTGAGCTCAGGAGTTCAAGGCCAGCTTGGTTAACAGAGCGAAACCCTGCCTCTACAAAAAATATATAAAAATTAGCCTGGTGAGGTAGCATGTGTGTAGTCCCAGCTACTTGGGAGGCTAAGGTGGGAGGATCACTTGAGCCCAGGGGGCAGAGGTGAGCCGAGATCATGCCACTGTACTCTAGTCTGGATGACAGGAGTGAAACCCTGTCTAAAAAAACAAAAGAGAGAGAGAAATCTTAGGATGAATGGGTTAATCAATTTAAAAGCTCATAACTCTTCAGATAGGATTTTATTTTACTGGAACATGTGGGATTTTGGACAGTGAAGGGAGATAAGGGCCACCCTGAGACCCTGACCCCTGGGGCCCACGAGCCTCAGAGAGCCTCGCTTGGACTGACTGCCCACCATGCCCTACATCAACTACATTAGGAACTGAACTTGGAAAAATTTGAGCAAGAAACACTAAAAGCCTTTTAGATTTAGTGAAAAAAAGAGATTGAACTAGAATCACCATAAAGTCTGTGTGTCATAAGCTGCCCAGTTCTGACCAAGTTTTATCATATAATTGAGCAAATCACGCATCTGAGCCTTGGTTTCTGAACCAGTGAAATACAATAGTAAACATTACTCTCATCACTGCAAAGTGGTTATTTTTCCAAGTGAGTCTCTTGGTGGCTTTTTAATTGGAGCCAGCCCCCTCTGCTTACAGAATATTCAGAGAGCTTAAAGAAAGGCAGACTAGAATACAATCTATATTCTTAAGAGTATCAAATTGGTATCAAGATTCGACCAAGTTTTTTAAACAGAAAACCTATTGCCTCAAACTGGCCATTCCACTGTGCCTGGGCATGGGCACATGCCACTGTGCCCACAGCAGGTTCATGAGGCTCCTTGTAGTGTAGGAAGAGGCCAGGGTAGGAGAAAACACCTTCTTTTTAGTATTATCTATGTTGTTTGCTTCCCCTCTCCCTAGAATTTAATAAGCCACTATAGCAAAATGAAAATCTTTGTACTGTGTCTTATTCTTTATATTTCTAAAATTTCTCACGAGGTTTTGAAACACTGTTAAGTTTCTAAGCCTGAAAAAGTAATTGTAATTTTTACACATTTTTTAAGATGAGATTTTCTGCTTGTTCATGATTTAAGAAAATAAATTCTCATTCGTAATTCTGGTAGAACTGTACTCAACAAATCTGAATGTTGCCCACAGAGTTACCGCCAAGTTCGACTGAATGAACTCTTACAGGAGCACTCCAGAGCTGCTAATCTCATTGTCCTGTAAGTATCATCGCAGGCATTGAAGAACATTAGAAATAAATCTTAGGCTTAATGGGTTAATCCATTTAAAAGCTTATGACTCTTCAGGTGGGAATTTTGTTTTGTTTTTGTGTGTGTCTGTCTGTGTGTGTGTGCGTGTGTGTGGTTTTTTTTGTTTTGTTTTTTTTTTGGAACACGTGGGATTCTTTCTTAGACAGTGAAGGAAGATAAGTGCCACCCTGAGACCTTGACCCCTCAGGCCCATAAGCATCAGAGCCTCACTTGGACTTGCTGTCCGCCATGCCTTATGAAGAGGTGTGTGCCCATCTATTAACAGCCACAAGTCAGCCACCACAGCTCACGGGCCCCTTCCCTGGGTGGGTGTCCCTGAGCCACTGTGCCCATGGCAGGTTCACGAGGCTCCCTGTAGTGTAGGAAGAGGCCCAGGTAGGAGAAAAAGGCAGAGCCATTTCCATTTTCACTCTTCACACTCTAGCCTTACAAATGTTAGGGTCACATCTACTGAAAATGTATGTTTGTTTACTTAAAGATTGGTATTTAAACAAGAAAACCTCTAAGGACTTCACATTTATACCTCACGAATTGACTTCTATGTATAAAGATAAATATATCTTCACATAGTGTAGACTGGAAAAGTATCCATCAAAGACATTGTAGAATTGTCTCCTGGATTGGGTGGTAGGATTCCAATAGATGGTTTTGGAGGTTTTTCCCAAATATAAGATATTTAAATTATTGGAAAAAATCATTTATACCAAAAAGGGGGGCAGGTATTAGCTGATCAAATTCCCTATTTAAAGAAAAGTGAAAATGTACATGTTTGTTTTGTCTTTACAATACCTAAGCCTGTTTTTCTGGTTTATAGATAGTATTACCTGAAAAATACATCAGTTTGCTATCTACAGTAAAAATAATTTCGGTGCTTTCATCTTGGGGTGGGGTAAAAGTTAAGGCTGCCAGTTATTAAATAGTTAAGTTATTTAACTATTTAAATTAAAAGTTAAAGCTGCCAGTTATTAAATATTAGTGCTGTTACTACCTATAGTAATTTTCACTTTCATTTTTAAATTTTTCTTTCATGTCATTAGGAGTCTTCCAGTGGCAAGAAAGGGATCCATTTCGGATTTGTTGTATATGGCTTGGTTGGAAATCCTCACAAAGAACCTCCCACCTGTCTTACTAGTTAGAGGAAATCACAAAAATGTCTTGACATTTTACTCTTAAAACATGAAAGATTAGAATACATTTTACCTTAATGTATATGCATAATTAAGAAACATGTTCCAGTACTTTATGTTGTAATCTGATCTGTGGATATGCAAACCTCTGGAGATGATCCTACCAGATTCTACATACATTGCATGATTTTTATCAGTTAATGCGAGCTTTTTTTTCTCTTCTCAGCTTAAGGGGTTGTCAAAGCCAATGCTATCCCTAGAAAAACATTTTTGTCACTGCTGTTGATAAAAACGAAAATCAAGGAAATTCATGTTAGCTTATGCTCATGAAAACCACCAATGTGATTGTAAACTTCTCCAGACAAACGTAATCTTTTGTTTCCAGAGTGTTTGCTCCTCAGCCCTGGTATAGGTCTCAGCCCCACAGCAGGATCTCAATAAATGCTTATTGACAGGCTGGCATAGTAACCACAGGTGGTTATCAAAGGAAAAGACCAATAGGCTGGAGAATATAATTATGCTTGGCCCCCTCAGATGCTTATACCTACAAAGCAGATTTAAAAATCAATAACTCAAAACTTTCAGAAGTACTTGAGTCTACAAAATGTTCAAAGCAGTTACCTAAATAAGGTTATTTAATGTAACAGATTATATACTTAAAGTGATCTGAGCGATCATTGATAACATATGGCTTAAATTTGCTGCTGCCTGAAAAGTATATTAACTAGATTAGAAGACACCATATACTCCAATAAAATGAAATATGTTCTATTCTCAACGTATAAACTTTAATTGTACTCCCTATCAAATATTTTGAAATTTCCATTACAGCATTACTTTGCATAGTTTTTCTAATTAAATGGTTAGTACAGATGAAATCTTTATAGATGAGTACTTGAAAACTAAGTGCCACCAGTTTTCAAACCCTTATTAAGAAATATATCCTGAATCATATATTTAGTTACTTTCTATAGTGATTGTATGGATTTAAAAGAATAATTAAAATGTGAAGTTGAAAAACTTGTAAAATTTGGAATATACAGATACTGATTTTTTTCATTTTTGTTAGTACACCTATAATACTTAATCATATTGACAAACCAATGAAAATATTGTTTTTCTGATGAATGGCTTGATTTTGCTCCTTGACATGTTTTGACTGTTCATTCTAACTGAAAACATATATGGGAAAATATGAACCTGAAATAAAAGCACTCAAATTCAATTGCTTGCGTCTAGGTCATGTTTTTACTTTCAGTCACTAAAATTGTGGTGCAATGGCATATCAGATGTGAGCCTGAAGATTTCAATCAGTGGCCTCATCTACAGTTGTTTAAAGCTAGGATTCAAGATCAGGACTTCCTAACCCAGCCTCTCTGTTCAGAAGGATGGCCAGAGAAAAAGGAGACCATCAGCAAAGCTTAGGCAGCTGGTTATCCCTATTCCAAATCCAGGGCCACTGTGCTTAACTCTGCCCTCGATAAAACCCTCTCTCTTGAGCACTGAAATCCAAATGCCTAAACTCAGCTTCAGGTGGGCCTGACAGTTCTCTGAAATACTTGAGGGTCTCTGGGAAAGGTGAGAAGTAATACAACTTCTTTAGCAGGACGTTCTGGCTCTTGTTTCTTTCTGGGCTGCTGCAAGTTGGGTCCCCTGGGAAACAGACTCTGAGACAAAGTTTAGCATGATCCCCTGGGGATTAACACCTGAGGGAAGGAGGGGAAGAAACAGGAAACACAGAGGTAAGCAGTGAGCTGGGATGCAGGCCCAACGACAGCCTCTGCTGACCCTACAGAGAGTTGTCCCAAGCAGGGCAGAGAGGGCCAGGCTTTTGTACTCTGCTTTTATCAGTTATTGCATGGGGGCTGCCTGGGAAGGGGTGTGACCTCTGGGGCAGGGGGTGGGCGTGGGGCAGCTCTGTGCAGCAGAGGCAAACCCCCAAGGGCCTGACAGGGAAAGTCTGTGTGCTGATAGCACTCCTAGCTGTTAGGGCAACAAGCTCTTCATTAAACAAAGTCTGGGTAGGACCAAAGGGCCATACAAAGTAGTAGAAACTGAGTTACTGAATTTCCTGAGGGCCAGTAGCAAGAGATGGCTGAGTATAGCCCTTGGATTCCAGGTTAAGGGCTGGGTGGCTCTAAGGTACTAGAGATCTTGAGATCAAGAGCAACTGTATTGGGAATAAGTTCAGAGAGCAGAAAGTCAAAAGGATAGGGGCTACGGTCACATAGCCACAGATTGTCCGGCCCTTGGTGCCCTACTATTGTCCTTTGCTTCACCCAACTCTATGGATCCAGCCACCCATCATCTCCATGTCTGCGCTCAGGTTTCTGAGCAAGAAGGAGAACATTCCACAATCATGTGCATTGGTGTCCAACTGTCTCTGTCTCCTCACTTTGTGCATGTTTGTCATCAGCAACCCCACCCTTTCCTCACCATGACTTCAACATCACTTTTTCAGTTGCTGTCTCTGCTCCCATCCCCACAAACATAGACATATCCATAGACATAAAATTTCTTTCATAGATAGTGCTATACTGGGAGCATTGTCCTATGAGTTTTTCACTTAACATTCAATTTTAGAAATATTTAAGTAGAAGCTTTATTTATTATAATTAAATAATTAGTAATAATAAATAGAGGCAAAGACTGGCTCTCTCACCCAGGATGGAGTGTAGTGGTGCAATTTATAGCTCGCCATAACCTCCTGGGTTCAAACAATTCTCCCACCGCAACTTCCTGAGTAGCTAGGACTACATTCCTGTGCCACCATACCTGGCCAACCTTTTAAAAAATTTTTGTAGAGACAGTAGCTCACTATGTTGCCCAAGCTGCTCTTGAACTCCAGGCCTCAAGCAATCCTCCTGCCTTGGCCTCCCAAAGTGCTGGAATTGCAAGTGTGAGCCACCATACCAGGCCTTCAATGGAAGCTTTAAAAAGAGAGTATAAATTCTTGGGGCCACCATAGCCCTGGTAAATTAGAATCTCTGGGGTGGGACTGAGGGTCCTGCATGTTCTGATGATCTGCAAGATTTTGGAACTACTGCTCTGAGGGCAGTCCCCCCCATTTCATGGTTTGATTTCCACTACATGTTGGTGTCTCCTAAACTTACATTTTTAACTCAGATCTCTTCTAAGTCTCAGATCCATATATTTAAACACTAATTGTCTTGATCTCTGTCTCTAGGTGCCCTGCAGATACTCTAAATGCAGATTGACCAGACTTTTGTAAAAAACACACACATACACTGGAGGAATGGCCTCTAATTCTCTTTCTCTCTCTCCCTCTTCTTTTTTTTTTTTTTTTTTTTTTTTGACATGGAGTCTCACTCTGTCACCCAGGCTGGAGTACCATGGCACATTCTCAGGTCCCTGAAACCTCCACCTCCCAGGTTCAAGCAATTCTCATTGCCTCAGCCTCCAGAGTAGCTGTGATTAGAGGCATCCGCCACCACACCCGGCTAATTTTTGTATTTTTAGTAGAGAAGCGGTTTTGCCATGTTGGCCAGGCTGGTCTCGAACTCCTGACTGCAGGTGATCTGTTCGCCCTGGCCTCCCAAAGCACTGGGATTACAAGTGTGAGCCACTGTGCCCGGCCTATGTAATTCTCTTTCTCAATGCATATCAGGTCTCCCCTGAAATAGCAGAGATCACGCCACTGCACTCCAGCCTGGGCGACAGAGTGAAACTTTGTCTCAAAAAATATAAAATAAAATTTTTCAAAAAACAGAAGAAAATCTGCATTACAGCAGAAAACTAAGGAAGGATGCCATTCACATGATAATATTTTTTAGAAATAAAATCATGCTATAGTTTACATGGGTGGAGACTGATGGAAGCAATCAAAGATCAGTTACAATCAATACTCCTGGGGAAAAAAATAATCTTAGGGAATAATTGCAGGAGACCCTGGGAGAATTTCAATCACCCCTCCTCACAATTTGAAGCTGGAAGTGAGAATAGGCAGTAGGACAGAGTGGAGCACCTTCCTTAGGACCCCTTATGTTGGATGCCGGGAGTATTCAGAACAGCTTCCCTGAGAGGATGTGTGGTGTGCTTGGTGGGCGTTGCTATGCAGCATCTCATGGATGCCCTTGGCAGAGGCATCAGAAAAGAAAACAACAACATTGTGTGTAAATCCCAATACATAAAGAGCATAAAAACATGAAAAAATAATCCAAAAGAGAAAAGTCAAAAAAAAATTTTAAAAGAGAGGAATTATACAATAATAGAATCCTACAATAGAAGAAAAATCAAACATACAAGAAACAAATAGAAAACACAAATGTGTTCATCTTTTTTGTTAACAAAATGACTCTCAAATTTAACGAAAAAAACAAACTGTATTCTATCTGCAAGCATCATATTCAGAATTGAATATAAAAAGTCTAAAAGTCCACAACTGAAAGTGAAAAAAAAAGGCTAAAAGCAAAAGAATAAACAAAAATATATACAAACATTCAAACAAAAAGAATAGAGTTGACAATATTAACTTCAAAGTTTAAGACTAAAAGAATTAGGAATGACAGGAGAGTATCGTTTTATATTTATAAAATATATATAGCCACAATGTAGCTATAATAATAATGCAGCTTTCTGTAAACAAATAGCATAGTATTGACATAAATAATACAAGAATTGTTGAAAACAAAAGGATAGTCCCAGAAAGCCAATTTTTGATTTTTTTTTTTTTTGAGATGGAGTTTCTTTCTTGTTGCCCAGGCTGGAGTGTAGCAGCATGATTTCTGCTCACTGCAAGCTCTGCCTCCCGGGATCAAGTGAGTCTCCTGCCTCAGCCTCCTGAATAGCTGGAATTATAAGCATATGCCACCACGCCCGGCTAATTTTTGTGTTTTAGTAGAGATGGGGTTTCACCATGCTGTCCAGGCTGTTCTCAAACTCCTGACCTCAGGTGATTCACCCACCTCAGCCTCCCAAAGTGCTGGGATTACAGGCGTGAGCCACTGCACCCGGCCAGAAAGTCAATTTTCTTAGGAAACAGTTCACCCCATGACAATATTTGACAAATCTAGTATAGGAAGAATTCAAAAATACATTAAAAAAAATATTGAATAGGTACAATAGTGCTCACCCACAGAAAATACATCATCTTTTAAAAATCTATTGAATATTTATGAAAACAAACTCTATGTTAATAGCAAATAAAAACTCAGTAAATTCCAAAATGTAGAAATAGTAAATATAACACTTTTATCACAACACAATAAAACTGACATTACAAATATATAAACAACAATACAAAAAACCTTACTTACTGGAAAAAGAAAATTCTCCTAAATAACTCAGGTCAAAAAGAAGTAGAAAACGCAGCTTTAGACTCTTCGGTAAAAATGACATGGAAAATTCCACATAGCAAAACATAGGATAATAAAGCAGGAGTTGGAAGTAAATATGTAGCCATAAATGGCTTTATTAATAAATAAGAAAAATGAAAGTTAACATTAAACTCAACAGTTAAGAACAGCACAAAGTAATCAAAGGAAAACGTGAAAAAGAAATTGAGGGAAAAAGCGGCATGGTAAGATGAAGAGCTCAAGGCTAGGAGACAGAAAGCTGGGAGCTGAATCTCAGTTTCCCCACTCTCTAGAAGAGGGGTCGTTAGTCGGCCTCCTTAATAATTAGTCTTCTGCTATGTAAAATGGGGATTAAGAGAATGCACCCCTTAGGGTTTTGCAAACAGATGAGATAATGTGTGTCAATAGATGAGCACAGTACTGGGTTCAGCACTTTATGGTAAATACTTAAGCATAGACATTATTTTCAATAAAGATAGTAACAGTTCAAATGACAAACTCAACTGTTGTTTGTCACTGTTGCTAAAAAAAAAAAGGAATAACATCAAATAAATAAACTTCTTTTTAGTTTTAGAAGAAGAAATATAAATATACACCACATTTACAAATGAGCAAGGGACTTTGGGTTTAACTTTGGAAAAGAATGTCTTAAAACTCTAGTATGGTAAATTGTTAATTACAATAAACAAATCTATTTGTAGTAAAATAAAAACTACTAAAATTAACTCAACAGGAAATAGAATACCTGATAAAATCTAATACTTCAGGATAAAACACAAAGATTATCAAAGATTTAGCTCAAAAAGGGTTTCAACCCAAAGGATTTTTTTCTAGGCAACTTCTTTTAAACTTTCAAAGAAAATATAATTACCATTCTGTTTAAGCTATTGCTGAACAGAACAAGATAAAA